CCCTGCTGCCTATCCGCAAAGCCAGAAGGATTGGGGATCGCTAGACTAGAATGTGAGTTTCTCTGCTCTTAATCTAGCATCTCAACCATCATACTATATCACACTCTTTCTTTTCTGTTTATGTTGTTGTGTTTATTAATAAGCAAACTTGCTTACCATGGATTTAGGATGGCTGGCTGGGCAATGTTCCATCCACCACCTCCCTCTCCAGTTATTTTTGTTACTTGTTTGGTCAGTTTATTTGAGATCTCTTCACATTTGTTCATAAGTCTTAGCACAACATCTCTCTCTCTTAGTAGAGTTTTGCAATTCCAAATAATATCTTCTGACAAGCCATTAGTCCTACACATTTTTGTGAACTGAGAGAGAGGGAGGGAGGGAGAGAGAGGGAGGGAGGGAGAGAGAGGGAGGGGGGGAGAGAGAGAGAGAGAAGAGGGGGGGAGTCACTAGGTTTAAATACAAAATCAAAATAAATTGAACATAGAGAATCCATCAGTTTTATTCCTCAGACTTTTTGGTTATTCTATTTCTTTCTCAATACGTTTTCATTTTTGATTGAAAATATTAAAATACAAACTATAAAAAGGAAAATAAAAGTTCAAAAACCAAACAAAACTGGTCAAAACTTAATTAACTTAATTATTACAATAATTTAATGAATTGTTGTCTTATTCATTAAATATTGGAGTAGCATACGATCACAGTTTTTTGGCTTGCCCATAGTAACACATATTAAGTAATTAATATTCTTGTGCTATTTTTAGAATGAATTCATGGACACCATGAACCCAAAATAGGATTTTTCAAACTGCTTTAGCACACAGTATAAAAACTGTAAAATCGTGTTGCAACAAAAGAGGGCACTATTAATATGGAGCTGAAAATTTGTTAGAATCTTTATATCAATCCTTAATTTATTTGATGTGCTTTTATTTATTAGCTGGTCCAAACCAAAGCTAACAAAGTGATTTTTTTTTTAAAAAAAATAAAAAATAAAGAGCTGCAAAGCATTCATAGGACTTATTTGGGAACTGCTGAGGCTATGTCCATGGCTTGCAGTGATAAATTACTTTGGCAGAAGGTTTCTATATACAAACCATTATTTCTAAAAAGAGAAAGAACAGCTAAAGTCTGCTTTTAAGTTTTCAAAGCTATTCACCACCCACCTGGAAAAGATGGAATGTCCTTTTAAAGCCAAGATAATCAACCTGGACAATACCTGTCAAAACTCTATCTGCAATGTTATGATTGCCTCCAGCACTAAGAAATAATCTCTGTGCTTGTTTAAACAGGGAAATAACTTGTTATATACAACAGAATGCAAAGTAAGATTTATTTTCCTAATCCTAAAGCTATAAAGATCTTTTGTTAAATCCATGATTGTAAATCAGTAAAAAAAAATAGCATCTATTCTCTGCTTCTAAAAGAGGTAATCTCCTTCACAGTGTGCAGACTAAATAGGCATCATTTTATTTTTATCTTGGTATTGTACAGATTCATAATAAGAACATAAGTTAAATGCATCTTACAAAAACATCAAGAATTTATAAAAAGTCCATCTGTTTCCAACACCATGGTTGGAAATAAATCTGATGGTACAGGTTATTAGTTTGCAACATGCCTGTTTCCTACTTTTTAAAATTAAAACATTTGATTAAAAAATCAGGTAGAACAGGAAGCTTGTAAGGTCGTATGGAAAGTTTAGGGAAGCACATACATACTTTCTTCTAATCTTGAAGCTTGTTTAAAAATTAAAACCGATTAATATTAATTCTAATTCAGCAGTAATGTTAGGGTAAGGAACAAGAGCCATAGCAACAATGGGAATCCCAAAGCTAAGGAATTATAGCAAAGAACCTTATTTTATGGACTGTTGTAGCAAAATAACAGAATAATTGGATTTACATCATTTAATCTTGTAAAATATTAATTATTTAAATTATACCAGCAATATTCATTAAGTAACCTATTGTGAAATGCATATCATCTCTTCCTTAGACAGTTGTGGCTTTTATTTGGCAATTCTGATGAACTCTCTTAAATTGTTACGAAATATGCTTGACTTTAAGTAGGACTGAACCTCTAAAAGTGAATTTATCTTACCTGTAAAAATAGTTTAATAGGTTAATTAACATTTTCAATAATTATTTTAAGTGCTGGAAGGCCACATTGATGTTGTGAAGACTTGCAATTTTTAAATATTACACCTTAAGTGAAACCATCTGTTTAAAAAAACCACCCAGTTTGTTTCACGTTGCATTATCTCCATCTGTTTCCAAGTCTTGAGTAAAAACAACACCTTCAGCCACTCTCCAAAATAAATCTTATGAATTATTGAAGCATTCACCTTGTACAAATTTAAGTCAGATTAAACAAATTCCACTTCTTAAGTACGCACACAACCCAAGTCAAAATTATGCATTCCAACCTTCCTCTGACTACAATGAAAGTGGCAATATATTGATAAATAAAAGTTTCTATATAGAAGCACCTGAAGATACAACAAAGTCAGTTTCTGAGATTTCATCTAGTGCAATATAACAATATAGATAGTCAACTGATGGACAGTAGAGTCCTGAATTGGAAACTGAACATTTATATATCCAAAGGTTGTGTTCTAGTTACCTAAAGGATCAGATTTATTTATCCCTTTAGGGCATGCCTGCCAAACTGNCATTCTAACCTCTGCGCCACCTCTAATAATTGTTTGCTCCAAATATGCTGACACACTAGAAGGCCACAAAATTATTGTAACATATTTATTCACTTCCTGTTACAAAAGCAGTTTCTTTCCACTGTAGGTATCGTCCCAAAAGTATTTTCTTTGTGCATATAATGAGTAATAATAGTAATAGGAGAAAAGAAAAAACGTACTCTCTCTCCTCAGTCTAAGTACTGAGCATTAATATATTTTTATTTGTGCAAATCAACTCTGGATTTTACAAAATGTTTGAAATATTACTGTAGGTGAAATTGTACATCTCTTTTTGAAATTATTAAATAAAATTATTATACTAAATAAAAATGTCACGCCCAATTGAAACACTTGAAAAGAAGTATTTTGTTAGATTATAACTACTTTTTTAATGGATTTCTACTTACGTTGTCACTATCACATTGAAATCTGTTACTTTATTATGGATATCCATTCTCAGGTGCCTCCTGTCTTCTTGAGATCCTAGGCAAAAATGCAAAGTGAGTTAGACTTTTCATTAATTCCAGGTAATTTATTAAATCATTCTTATGAATTTAAGTGCAATTCACAAGTTCAGTTTGCTACATTATGGCATAAAAACATTGAACTATATTTTGGTTATAGATATTTTATCTTTAAACACAATTTCTTACCGTAATAAAATAAAATCTGGAGTTCTGGGCACCACAAGTTAACTTCCCTTATCCAGTTATCTATTGTTAAAAAAAAATACATGAAACTGTTAAAGAAGCATTTTATTAATCTACCCACAGGCAAATATTAGTCCTAACTTGGCTCACACTAACGTACACAACGGCAACACAGCTGTGACTGGGATTCTTCTCACTATGAGGACATCTGGGATCCTTCATCAGGTTTCCTTGGAGTGAATGTATGCAGGATTGCACTATTAGTGGAAAGAGCCCTACGCTCTTTGGAGGAAGGGTTCAACAGATACATACTTTTAAACATAGTGAAACTGGGGTTGAGAGTGGGCAGTTATTTGCACTGCAGTCTTAAAAAGTTTTATGTAATCTCTTATTGTATTTTCCTCAAAACACAAAAGGATGTTTCCATAATAAATCTGTTGGAGACTCTCCCTAATTAAAACGTTAGACCAGGGGTATCAAACTCACTTCGTCACATTGTCGTATTGCGACTTTCCCCAACTTTGAGTGTCTGCTGAATGACTGTGCCAGTAAGCAAGGACTACCTGAGGCAGTTTATTGACTCAAAGATAAATGAGCATAGGAATGAATCTAGATGCTCCTAAGCCATCTTGTAGTTTTTCCACTTTCAGAAATTTGCAATGTCTTTGGCCTTCTTTCTGAGCTAATTCCTGGGAAATGGCTGTTTCAGTACTTTTGAGGAATACTGTCAGCCTCTGCTTTGCTGCTGCTTCGACTGCCATTGAAACGGGAACAGGGGGCATGGTATTTGGGAGGGGACTACTAATTGTGCTGGAGGAAGATTCTGGAGTTTTGCTGCCTGTCTTA